AGCATGCAAAGACTATAGATGAAACAGGAAGATGGCAAATATGACAAAAAGTAACAGAATTTTATATTCAGCCTTCGGAGAAATAATGGGTGTGGTACCATACCAGACCAATAGCACATGGAGGATCAAAGAATCAATGCTTTGACATCTCACTTGCGTACCTGTTATCCAACCTGACCTGTGGGTGGTTGGTGGGTGCTCTGGTATGGTTTGCTCCTTCTTTCTTATCGAACAGCTATTGTCCTCATTCTTTTCATTGTCAGTTACTCTAATGTAACACCACTAATCTTCGACTTTTAGTTATATGGCCTGTTGTTTGGAAGTGCAGTAAAACTTACCAAAGCAACCTGCCCGGCTACAGAGAGAGAGAGGGAGAGAGAGAGAGAGAGAGAGAGAGAGAGAGAGAGAGAGAGAGAGAGGGGGGGGAGGGAGAGGGAGAAGGCGAACGGGAGGAAAAGACAGAGGGGTGATGGGGAGGGTGTCAAATTGACCCATCGTGCATCAACAGGAGGATCGAACTCTTCTACGTGAAGGACGAACGCGTGCAAGCACCAGACCAATGCGTTCAGTTTGGTTTGAACAAATAGAAAGCACACTCAAACGAAAGCGTTCGATAAGTGCGGGTAAACAGAACGATATACGAAAAGGCAAATGCAGTTTCTAGAACACTTGAATAGACACAAAGACCTGGGAGATCTGACTCTCACTGGCATAATTGAAGGCAAACGAGGAAGTGCTAAAACCAGAGAAACTTGTTTGGAAAGCCTAAACAGATGGGTGACCGGAAAAGATCAGTTTATTGTTGCTTTTCTGAGTGCATCCGAGCAAAGGAATGGGATGGCAAACAATTCCTTCTGATGCCTGTCGTAGTTCTGGTTTTAATGATGATACAAGAAGTAACAATTGAAGGATGGAAAAAGAGAGGATCGACTTATAGCACAGACCAAAGTTGAACAATGTGCCTGAGATTTTCTACCTTTTTTGTTTGGTTCTTATATTTCATATTTACTTTGGGGTTTTGTTTCTTCCGTCCCAGTTTAGCTCAGTTCAGTTTGAGTCATAAGAAACACATCAATACGACACTGTACAAGATGGGCCAGAAATAGTTTGGTGAGGAAGCGAAGCCCTGATTAAACACTACTAGATTATGTAAATAGAGGGGCTTTTCGATATGATCAAGACAAACAAAAAGTAGCTCCCCCCCCCCACCGCCTCCCCAATTTAAAAAAAAACGAACTGAAGCATTAAAAAAGCCTGAACAAATATTATATTGAATTCGAACCGAAGTCATCTTGACAGAAAGCTCTTCAGGGAGATTCTACTATTGTTGCACTGTTGCTGAGAAATAGCTATACACACTGTTAGACAAAAACGACACAGGTAGAGAAAAGAACGAAATAGTCCGACATACTCTAACATCTTCTTTGGTTCCTGATGTATTGCCCGTGCAGCTCCTGTTGGAGCATATCAAGGAAGTCAAGATCAGAAGAGAGGGAAGTTAAGTAGTACTTTGACAATCTACTTTTCTATATTATCTACCACCTTGGCAAAACCACTGTCAAGCATACTGCTTTAAGATCGTCTGTCAAGACACAAAAAGTCCATCGAGTACAGTAAATTAAATAAATACGACCACACAGTAGCACCCTATAAACACCCACTCTCACGTCACATCAGTTATCTTGTCTTCCTCTTCTTTACTCTCGCTGCTGGTCGGTGTTTGTGGTGTAGCATGAACGTTTGGCCGTCGTATACAGAGGGTGTGAGTTTGATTCCCGGGCGAGAAACTTTCATTTTGCTTTTGTTTGTGTCTCTCTGTGTTTGTGTGTTTGTTTGTTTATTGTTTGTTTGTTGTGTAGGTTGTTTGTTTGATAGGTTTGTTGGTTGGTTGGTTGGTTGTTGGGTTGGTTGTTTGGCTTTTTTAAAAAGATAGTGTAGCTCCGTCTGTCTGTTTCGTCGTTGCATCCCTCTCAGCCTGGGCAAAGGCAGGGATAAAGCAGCCCGGCTCCTACTTTTTAAAGATAGTGTAACTCCGTCTGTCTGTTTGGTCGTTGCATCCCTCTCAGCCTGGGCAAAGGCAGGGATAATGCAGCCCGGCTCCTACTTTTTATAGATAGTGTAACTCCGTCTGTCTGTTTGGTCGTTGCATCCCTCTCAGCCTGGGCAAAGGCAGGGATAAAGCAGCCCGGCTCCTACTTTTTATAGATAGTGTCGGTGAGGGCGCAACATTTCTTCATAGGCAAAATATAATCTTAGCTCGCTCATCTCGGTGCCGATCGTCTAACTAGCCTTTGTACAGTTGTTTTTTTAAAGCATAAAAGCCATACCAAATTCTCACTTGTTCAACATATTTTTATTTCTTGCCAAAGCTTTCTCTGCTGTTCTCGATCCCAACATCGGAAGTGGGTGGTAGGTGGGTGCTCTGATGAAATCTGCACCTTTTTGTCTATGAATTATCCATCGCCCTTATCCTCCACCCCCCCCCCCTCGTCTTTTCTTTGTATGTTACTCTCTCGAAACATCTCTAATCTTCGGGACATTTCTGACATATTTTTGTTGCAAGTGCCGTAAAACTTTTACTAAAATGAAGCAACATGGGTAAGGAAATACCAGAGTAACAAGATCTAGCTCTGATGACGTTGATTGCCTTCCCATGTCCATATAATGACCGCTATTATATTATTGAGTAAATGATGTCCATTGTTCCAGGTACATATTATGCCAAAATGACAATAATAGGTCAGGCCAATTTGGCAAGAGTCAGTGGCTTAGAACTGAGCACAACTTGCCAGGACCATAACAACATTCCTGGCTGGCTTTGACGTGGGAAGCAATGAAAGAGTTCTGGAGGTTGGGGGATTGAACAGAAAAGGGGGTTGGTGGTGGAAAGAGATGAGAGGATTAGGGGTGAGAGCGGGGTCAGACATGTGAAAGCACGCCCTTTGGATGACAGGTCAGTGTGACCTTGACATTGTCTTTGATCGGATACCTTGAAAGGAAAGTGGTATTATTATAATTTCCTTCTCTGCTCACGGTTTCATTATTTCTACGTCCCCCCCCCCCCC